AATAGATTCTGCCTACACTCCCTGAGGTTGGGTGGTGCATCTTGGGCTCCCAAATCATGATGAATACTCGGTTATGTGGCCACCTAAATATGGACTTGTGGTTTCTCATGGTCTCAGATCTCTGGCTAAAAATCTGAATTGCATGAGCCTGGTTTCTTTCCCAGGATAGTAGCAATGTAGTTTACTGTTGTTATATTAACCCATGCTACACCATGCTTCAAGACAAAATTTCATTTTTTTGTAATTAAAAATAAATATTTAACAATATATAATTACATAGTTTTTGTGATTAATCACTATGCTTTAATTATGTTCAATGCAAATACATCCTGCATATCAGATATTTACATTGCGATTCATAACAGTAGCAAAATTACAGTTATGAAATAGCAACGAAAATAATTTTATGGTTGGGGGTCACCACAACATGAGGAACTGTATTAAGGAGTCGCGGCATTAGAAAGATTGAGAACTACTGGTCTAATCTAAGCCTTATGTTTCATATGTCCTGGTTGGATTCAAGCGGCAGCTGTTCATCTTTTGAAGAAAGTGGAAGAAAAAAGGTGCTCTCCAGTTGACAGGAAAGTGGCCGCAGCACAAATGCAGCAACGGACTTCAAGGTATTTCACCACCCAACGTCAAGAGAAATTAAACCAACGTACTTTTTAACAAGCCGTGTAATTTTAGCCAAAAGACCTGCCCCTTTGATGTTGACTTTACAGGCCGTAATCAGCACTTTGAGTTGCCCCTGAAGCTTTACTGGCAGTCAGTGCAGCTTGTGAAGCAAAGGTGTCAAATGGCTTATTGCAATGTGTGCAGCTGGCTGGCTGAAGTTTCAAGGCCAGCCCCACACAGAACATATTGTAGTAATCAAGCCATGAGGTGACTGGAGTGAGAGTGATGATCTAAAGAACCTCCCCATTTAGGAAAGGGTACAACAGAAGAAGCTGGGCAAAGACTTTCACAGCCACAGCTGCCACTTGCTCATTGGGCAGGAGCTTTGAGTCCAGAAAGACCCCAAGCGGCCCAGAAGCCTTGAATGGGGAAGGGCGACTCCATTCCAGGATAAAGATGAAATATTCCCAAATATCCACAGCTATTCTGCCCTGGTAAAATTGAATCGGCAGCAGTTCCCTCCCCATCCAGACCCTCAAAAGCCTCCAGGGACTTGGACAGGATCTTTTTACTTCTTTTCCTACATTTCAACACTAAATTCATAATTGTCAGGGCAGAAACAAACAAGTGGACAAAGCTTAAGTTTGCAATGTAATTGCAGGTCTTTCTCTCCTCCCCTCCCATCAATGTTGAGGTTAACCACATTGTGTTGGTGTTTTGCTTCTTTGTTTAGCACCCTGATAATACTTGGAAGTTCAGTCTAGAATGGGACTCTGGCATAGCAATAGAAAGGGTTTTAAACTTTAAACTGTACAGTAGTTGGTTTTCCAAAAAAGAAAGCATCAACACATATATAGGTATAGGTTCTCCTGCTTGAGCAGGGGGCTGGATTAGAAGATCTCCAAGGTCCCTTCCAGCTTCTATTCCTATTGCATTCTACTCTATTATTTCTATTCCTATTCGATTTGATTTATATAGCTGCCATCTCATTTTTATGTGATTCTGTGTAGCTTACAATAAAATACATGAAATACACAATTTAAAAAAGCAAATAAAAATAAAACACCTAGCAGAAGGCCATAATCTGATCAGACAGCCACCCAGGAGACAAGCTCTGTGATACATCCAGGAACCAAAGCCAAGTTTCAAGGCCTTGCGGAAGGCCATCAGGAATGGGGCCAGTCTAACCTCAGTACGGATGTTGTGCCAAAGGGCAGGAAAGGCTCTCCTGGATTGCACCAGAATGCTCTTCTTGACAGATTGGGTACAGCAGGTAGAAACAATTGGGGAGGGTTGGTCCCCACGTGTTTCCACTAGAAAGTCTGGGCCTTGCGTCTAGCACACAGGTCGGCAACCTGCGTCTCTGGAGCCGCATGCGGCTCTTTGAGCCTTCTTCTGTGGCTCCCAGCCTCTTCTGCCATTTGCAGAGACAGAGACAGGCACTTGTGCTTCCCTTCTGTGTGTGTGTCACACACACACACACACACACACACACACACACACACACATTTTTTCACCGGAGTGGGACTTTTCGAATAACCCGCCCCGAGGAGGGAAACGACGCAGAGACGTCCTTCGTCCTACCCCTCCTCTCTCGATCGGACAACATCTTGTCGAACTTCGGTCGAACGGTCCACTCGTCTAGTCTCCCCCCCCCCCTCTCTCTCGAAAGAGGGAGAGGAAAGAGGGAAAGGAAAGAGTGTTAAGAGAGGGCGAGGAAAGAGAGAAAGGGATAGGAAAGAAAGGGGAGGGAGAGACAGACCCTTTTTACATCTAAAATGAAGATAAAGACATGATTAAAGGGTATATGCGGTGTTATCTTCATTTTAGATGTCAAAAGGGTTTTGCGGCTCCTAGTGTTTTGTTTTCAGTGGGGTCCAAATGGCTCTTTAAGTGTTTTGGATTGCCTACCCCTGGTCTAAGCATTCCTATTTTTACTGATATCTTGACTGGAGATTGAAAATTCTCCCAAACTATTGCTAGTCCCTTTGCATAAAGCATTGCCTGGTAACTGGAACAACTTTCCATTTCTTTCATAGACTGTATAATAATCTGGCGGAAGTGAAAAACAGAAAGGAAGAGAAAGACAGAAAAGAAAATTATGCCAGGAACAGGGAAAGAGCAAAAGAATTTCACAAGGTAAAACATTTGCAACTGAATATTCCATCCCAGGCTCTAAAAATAAAAAAATAAAACACCTCTAAATTTTGCTGGTTATATTTATTCTTTTAGTTGTGAATCAAATTGACCGTAAGTTTAGGCATTGACTTAAAACAATAAAGAGAGGAATTCATCCTGTTTCCAATGCAGAAAACCAAATGTGGTTGGCAGCAAGTGCCAGAAGTAAAATAATGCTAATACCATATTATTCCTTATCCAATTAGCAATGAGCAAAGCTTGATGTTGCAATGGTGCTGAACGAATGGCACCACCAGTCCTGGAAGTCCCAGCAGCCACGCCTTCACAATGGCCATTTGCAATTTTCCCTGCCAATTTTCCACAAGCAAATCAATGCTTGCAAGTTGCTTCTGGCCCTTTTTCTCCCAAACCCTGGAGTACAAAATCCCAGGGTTTTAATATTCCACCATCGCACTACTCCCCAGCCCACATCCAATTGCCACAGCACTTTCTGCTTCACTCACCCACCTTCCAGCCTCCTTTGGAGCCACCGGGCACTTACAACTTCCTTACAACTTCCAACTGGCTTCCCTGCTGACAACTTGTGGGAAGCCAGCAGGAAATTGGAAATCACGGTCACATAAGGTTCTTGCTTAACAAGGTGGCTTTTTTAACGACAGCAATGAGGACTGTACTTTAGAAACGCAATTCCATATTTAAAAGCAGAGCAGGTAAAATGTGCAATATCCAAAAATATTACCCACAAATCATTGTAGCTGTTCAGGAGTTTGACTCTAGATCTTTTGGTCACTTGTGCCACATTTTGCTCACTTTTAAGCTTCTAAGTGCTGCTGCTATTATACTTCTGCCATTTATTCATTGCTCAGATTATTTATTTTCTTTCCCCTTTCTTTATAGAAAACAATGGAAAAACTACGAGCCAGGAAAATGAATTTGAAAACCTAGTGTTTTGCAGATGTCCCACAAATAGAGGATAATTTATCAGCATTGTATTTGAGGTCTCCTTGATAATTAAATTATGTGGCAGAATTTGAGATAATTCACATTTGGTATGGATATATTTGCAAACTTTCCAATGCTGTATATAGACCATTGTCTCCCAATTATGGCTTTTCAACTCAAGATTTTATTTTCAAACGTCATGTGTTTGCTTTTTTGTACTATTTTAACTATTTATAATAAAAACTTTATTGGCAAAAATGTAGAACATTTGACAATTTATTCAAAAGCCATGTTCATTTTCACTTGTCTTTAAAAAAATTGTGCCAGTCAGAGTGGGAAAGGGAGATTTATTGTCAGCCTCCTGCCAAACAATCCAGAAGACGGAGAATGAAAAGTAGTTGAATAGCAAGCTACCTTTGGAAATTTCAGCTGCCAGTAAGAGAAAACACTGTACACGGCTTGTAATTTTTCTTAACCTGCCTATTATTGCATTCATGAGCAGTCTTATCCCTGAGTCTATTATGTTGCTTTCTAAAAGCACATCTATATAAATAAAAATGTAAATGTTCGTTTGTTCAAAATCTTAAATCTCCGAAAGTTCTTCACCGATTGCTTTGAAATTTTGACACAACTTTGCATTCGAATACACGCGTGTTTTTATATACCTACTATTATATAGATGTCACACCTGTGACAGGTAAAAACATGCTTTTTTTGAAAAGCAGCGCCATCTGTTCGCATTCCTATGATTCCAACGGATATGCCATTTCAATTTAAGAGATTGCAATTCCCAATTCGATTGGCGTTTGCAATCACCATCAACAAAGCTCAGGGCCAATCTTTAGAATTGTGCGGTTTAGATCTAGACACGGACTGCTTCTCACATGTTGCATGTTCTAGAGTCGGCAAACCAGACAATCTCTATATCTGCACAGACAATGGAACAACAAAAAATATTGTATACCCACACAAACGTGCGCTTTCTCTTTTCTTTCTTTTCCATTTAACCAGACTCAGCCACAGCAACGCGTGGCCGGGTACAGCTAGTGAGATATAAAAAAGATAGAGGAACTACGCCAAAATGTAAATAATGTATACAAGATCAGGAAACAGAATTCAGTTGTATGACAAATGCTTAATATCATTTATTAATTAAGCCATAATTAAATCACAGTACAGCAAAACTGCAAATGCAGTTGGAGAAAGCTAAGATTATTCAAATCAATATCTGTTTAACAATTAGAAGTACCCAAGAGCATGGCTGCTTAAAAGACACAGATCTCAAGCTTTTGTTAAGAAAATAGTCGCCCGGTGAATTTCCACAATTTTTCAAGCATCAAGGCCCAAATATTTGGCAGAGACCATTCTGTTCCAGGTCATCCTCTCGGCATTCTTCAAGTGCCAGCTACCTAAAATAGAAGAAGAGTATTTTTATGAGGTAAATCAATGTATTTTTGGCTTGGCCTTTTCTTTTCACCAACCCTCAAGGGAGATTTATAGAGCTAGTTTAGCTGCTTGTTTTGGTCCCTGTAGCCCAGGGGAAGGTACTTCTTCTGAAGAGTGATTGAAATTTATAACGGACTTTCCCCAACTTTCATTTAGCTGTTCATCCGAAATGACCTACAAGGGCAGGGGCCCTCAACCTTGGCAACTTTAAGACTTGTGGACTTCAACTCCCAGAATTCCTCAGCCAGCTTTGCTGGCTGAGGAATTCTGGGAGTTGAAGTCCACAAGTCTTAAAGTTGCCAAGGTTGAGGGCCCCTCTACAAGGGAGCCATCCAACTACTTCTGACTCCCAAAGGTGTCTCCTCTCGTACAGATCACAGAGCACTCCAAATCGCCTTGATATCCTACAGAGGACTTCCATGTACGGTCACCGCGTTAAGAGCTGCTTGTTGATCAGCACACAACCCTCTTTGAAGTGACCTTCTGCCCAGCAACTTCCACAGCCTTCCTTTTTTACCTTTAGCTTGAGTCCACTTTCAGCCAACTTTGCAGATCCCCACTGAGATTTCGTCAGGGGTATTTCGATAAAGGCTCACGACTGAAAACGGGGGAGAAAACATGATAAGCATCAAGTGAATCTTGTTCTGGTTTATTAATCTGTTTTAGATGAGAACGCAAGTAGAGCCGAGATGCAAGGGAAGACACAGAAAGCTAGAGACATTCTTCGGTTTAAAGCTTTTAGATTCTGGCCCTCAATTCTTAAATTCCCCCACCCACTAATGTTCCCACCAGATTTGTTGCTACCATGGCAGCAGTGTAAAAAATCTAGAGGGGTTGCTTTGCGGTCACGTCCACAGCATACCAGAAATAAGATTTTCTAGCAGCCTTGGTAGAGACCAAATACAGGTAGTCCTTGACTTATGACCGCTTGTTGGGCACTTGACAATGGGCTGTCCACATTTATGGCTGTCTGCAGTTATGCGATCATTTTATGATGGTTTTGCCAAAAGCCAGCATTTTTGGCAAGACCAGCCTCCTAGTGAACCATTGGTTTGCTTAATGATTATAATGGCTGCTTTAGGCCTGCTGTGTTTGCCTAACCTACACCACAAAAAGTTATAAAATTGGGTCGGATATATGGGTGACCCTATTTACAACTGTCATGACTTACAACCATGATGGGCAAGCTCCATTACAATCATCCATCAAGGACTACCTCTTCAGATATTATGATCTAAAATAAAGGTCTATTTATTAAAGCAATTAGCTGTGGATTTTTACTTGCCAGTTCCAATGTGAAAACTGAAAGCAAGGCTCCATAGTTAATTATCACTTTAAGACATTTGAAATATACCAGAAGAATATGTTTTCATATTCTCCATCCTTGCAGTATCTTCCCAGAATTTAGGACGGTGCAATCATATTTTCTTCAAGGAAATTAAGGTCTCTTGTTTTATGTTACTTCAGAATCTTGAACTGTTTTAAGAAATCCAAATTTCAGGCTGAACGTGGGATTATGTGCCATCAAGGCTCTAAAAGGCTGCAATCAAAATAAATGAGGCAAAACTGGGCACATTACCTTTTCATGAACACAATTTCAGAAGGGTCAGCGCAACTGATGTCACGTCCCCCCCACCTGCAGAGGGAAAAAGTATTTCTTCATGGCTGTTCTTTAGGAGGAACGCTGGGGCTATCCTAAGATCTTTATTGTCTTGTAATTTTACTGCACCCATCAAGCACAGAGATTAATGGGTAAAACGAAATCACAAGTCTGTTACTTTATGAGGCGTTTCCAACGATAAAGAACCTACAGTTAGGCTCCATCGGGATAGACCTCAATATTGCTTTTTCAATATTGTTACAGCTTATACAGGTTCCACCTACTATTTTGGGACTCAAGTTTTATCAGAATCGGAATAGATAATGTAAAATGGTGGAGGTTGAGTTCATAATGTAGTTGATTTTTACATTAACCGCCCATACATTTTTGGGTCTGTTGCAAGTTAAATCACGAGTGTTAAACTTTCTATTTTTCCTTTACTCTAAGGTATGGTTCGGCACGGAAAAAGAAGTAGACTTCGTCGACGTCAAGTGAACACGAAACCCGAGTGCACCAAAAACCAACTGCCAACTTGCAGCTGCAGGAAAACATACATTGAATAGGAGGGCAAGGCTATCACAAAGTTACCTTCTTCTTTTCCTATAGTCATAGGAAACTTCAGCTATCAATTTCCTACCTTGCAAGTTAAGTTGGGCTGAGATATACCAGCAAGCTTGATGGACTTTAACTTAGGTTCCCCCCCCCCCGCCTGCCCAAACCCCATTGCCAAACTGATTTCTGCAAAATTTTATTTGCACGCAGACTCCTTGTTTTAAATAACTGCTGCTTTAGCTCTGGTTTTAAGGGATATATATATATATATATATATATATATATATATATATATACACACACACATACACACACACACACACACACATACACACACACACACACACACATACATACACACACACACATATACTATTGAAACCAATAAATAATGATCACCAAGAGAATAAATAGGAAATATTTAATAAATCAAACCTAGCTAGGTTTGATTTATTAAATATTTCCTATTTATTCTCTTGGTGATCATTATTTATTGGTTTCTATAGTATGGATATATACCTTCAGATTTTCTCCCGCGTAAAATTGGAAGTTGGAACAATTGGAACTTCCAATTGTTTCAATGGGATATATATATTTATATTTATTTATTAAACCTTTTTATGGTTTCATAATTCTCCTGGTGAGCTCACTTTTTTAAGTGCTATCAGTCATGAATTTACCTAGGAGGCAACCTTGGCTCTTTTATGACTCGTGGACTTCAACTCCCAGAATTCCTGAGCCAGCCATGCTGAGGGGAAAGGGAGAGGTTTCCAAGCTCAGCCATGGCTGGCTCAGGAATTCTGGGAATTGTAGTCCACGAGTCATAAAAGAGCCAAGGTTGCCTACCCCTGGACTAGGCTATGTCACACAAACATTCAGGATTCCCCTTTTCTCCTGATCTTCCTTTTCCCTACAGGATCTTTTTAAATGACAGAAGAAAAGCCTTTTAAGCTTATTTTCAAGGCTCTATGACAGTTTCAGTTATTTCATCTAAAATGGCAACAATAACAAAAAAAAAGATTGATTTCTGGGGGGAGGGGAATCTCTCTTCAAAAGAGCTCAGAGTTTGCACTCTGTCCATTTCTGTCATCACCAACTAAGGGAGCCCATTGTTCATCCACTCTAGTTCCAGGGCGTTCTCTTCATCAATTACTTCCCATTGTATTGAGAACCAATTATGCACCCATTTGTAATCTCATCACCTGCCTGGCAATATAAAATTCCAAGGAACGTCCTTTTCTACAGCAAAGGCCCAGAAAGTCAACAAGCTATTGTAGAAAGGCTACTTCAATCAACTTTGTTCAGAATGGCTATTACATCACTCTTCTCTTTTCAGAGCAGTTGAACATCTGGCCAATCATCATGACAATCTCTCATCAGTCTTAAGAAAGGAACCACAATTTTCACGCCACGCTTTGGCATGATGTTCTTTGCAATTTTACAAAAACCCTTCTACGATTACCCACTAGATTCCAAACATATCTACTTTTCTATTAGTGATGGTATCCATTTCAGAATTCCTTCAATATCTTACCATTTCAGTCATAGATAGCGATGGAAGAGAATAATTTGTAGCTCAGGATGGAACAGTGGAGTCCTTGGTGCTTTCTGAGTTTGGCCATTTTCTTGTAGATATATCTCATTATCAAGCTAGGTAATAGCATCAGTGCTAGTGGTGAGTAGGGTTTGTTGTCATAATCTAGTGGCTTGCCTTGTTGGTAGGAGTGGCCCTGGTGGTTTGCTGTTAAGTTTGTTTGGCAGTCCCTTGACTGGATTATTGTTTGCTTCTTGATGGTTGGGTCTAATATTAATCTTGGTGTTAATCTCTGCTCATCTGGGTGTTTATTGATGGTGAGAAGGAGTTTTCATGTCTTCTGACTGCTAATTGGCGTTTATAGACATGATCTGCTAGTCTTTTGCCTGTTTATCCAGTGTGGCTGTTATAGGCCTTGCAATTTATGTTGTAGATTCCTGTTGTTTCTTCTGGGGCTTCCAGTTTACTTCTATTTTGGAGGGTTTTAGTTGATTTGGGTGCTGCAGTGATGCCGTGTGGTTGAAATGGTGTTGAAGGCTGGTGTGGGTGGCTTTACAATAGATTTACTTCTAATTTGCCGTCATCGCCTCTGCTGAGAATATCCAGGAAAGGTTGTTCTTTTCTTCTTTCCTAGGGAATTTTACTCCTTTGAAGATGTTGTTGAAGGTGTCCTTGTGTGGTCTCTATAGTTGGTTCTTTTAAATTATGACAAAGGCATCATCTACCTGCCCGATCTATATTTTGGGTTGTATGTACGGGAGTGCTACTGATACAAGGAGGCGTTGTATTATGGTCTCTGCTATTAGTCCTGAAAGTGTTGATCCTGCAGGTGTTCCTTCGATCTGTAGATATATTTGTTAGTCAAACTAAAGGTACGTGGTTACGCAAAGGTTGATAAGGTCCATGATTCGGGTTGCTTCGATTTTGGTGTTATTTGGTTAGGCCAGTGCCGTGACATCAAATGATGAATATGATTTTGTCTCCACCTACAATCACGCGTTGGGATTGTTTGGAGGCCCTGCAGTGAGGAGTTGTTGGAGTATTTGCTTCCCTCTGTGAGGTATCTTGAGCTTTTTAAGTCAAACTTTTAGCAGTATGGTAGGTTGTGGTTCCTGATAATGATACAACTGAACGGAGAGGTATTCCTGGCTTGCATACTTTGGGGCACCTGTAGAAGTGTGGGAGGACAGGTCCACTACTCTTCATCCACCACTGGTCGTCTTTGGTGATTTGCTCCTTCTTGGTGAGATTGCTGAGTGTTCTTCTTGATCCAGGTGACTAGTTTTGTTATCAGATTGGTGTCCACTGAGGTGTTACGTTTGTCTTCTAATAATTCTTTTGCTTTTTGTGTATGTTCTGATGCATCCATGATGACCCTGGTTCAACCTTTTGTCTGCTGGAAGGATGATGATGATAATTTGGCACTTCTTTTAGATTTTGAGGGCTGCTGTGTCTTCTGCTTTGAATTGGTTTTGTTCTTACCTTCTTGTTTGGTGCTTTCTTGGGCCTCTGTGGGGAATTCTCTGGTTTCAAATGCTCCTTCTAAGGCTAGCAAAGGTTTCCAGTTGGTTGGCATCCCCTGGGCTATAGTTTTGGCCTCGCTGTAGAATGTTGTGCGGTAGATAACGGGCAGCTGAACATGTTGACCAGCCTTTTGGGCTCCAGCCTTTGATACTGGGGTTTAGTTTGGCTTTCCTTTTTCCAGCTTGTCTCAGGGAAGTAGTCTTGATGTGGTTGTCAGCCTTTCTATATGGTGTTCCTTGTTCCTTCAGGTTCTCCATGGTATGTTGGTATTTGTGTAGTCTGAAATGCGCACCTGGGATCATGAGTCGTATTTTCCGCCCTCATCAGCACAGCAGCTTGAAAACCATCATCAGCCATACTTTGGGTTCCTTTAAAAAAAAAAGAGAGAGAAAATGTTTGCTTTGACTAAATCTGGTCGTTTTGTCTAAATCTGACAGGTTTTTTTCCACTTCAATGAACAAAGTGTTTTATCGAACTGTTTTCCCCGTTACTTATGGGTAAGGGCTACACAAACAGACAAACCTTTTATCTTATGAGCTACCATAGATATATGTATATATATCATCGCCAGCCAATAGCAAAAAATCAGACACGGAGATTGGCAGCTCAAAATACCAGGCTGCCTGTTTGCGATGCAACAGATTCTAGCATTGACTTATACACCTTCCGGTATCTTTATTTTGCTAATAAAACTGCAGGATAATATCCCAGGTCTCATTGTCATCAATATAACTTGTTTTACAATGATGGAAGCAGAACCTGTGTTTTCTGTAGCCTCATTGAATCGTTTGGCAAACACAAAATGAGATGTGCCCACACTGAGTACTTCAAATGAGGCAAGAATTTTAACTTGAGTCCACAGTATTCCCTTTGGGGGGGGGAAAACAATTATTCCCTTCAAATAAAAAAACAAACAAACTATTACCTTCAAAGATTTGCTCAAACAATTGCAGCTTGATTCTACTTTTTGTCAGGATTTTTCCTAGAATAGAAAATGTTTTATTATGACATTTTTCAAGAACAGAGGCTGTATAATGCAGGTAGTCCTCGACATACGACCACTACTGGGTCCAAAATTACCATTGCTAAGCAAAGCAAGTTAAATGACTAGCACCCAATTTCATGGCCCTTTGGGCACAGTTGTTAAGCAATCACTGAAATTGCTAAGTGAATCATGCAGTTCAACAAATCCAGCTTTCCCCTCAATTTTGCTTGTTGGAAAACAGCTAGAAGGGCCGTAAATGCCGATCACAACTGTTGTAAATAGACTTCCAGTTTGCATTGTAGCGATGCAGCCAAGGGAAAGCGGGGCTCCATTCCCCACGGCTGGTTTATCTCTGCCAGGGGGCCCTAAAGGGGTCTAAAGTTGCCCCGGAGATGCGATGAAGGAGGGGATCCTTGTCAATCACAGAACGATGGCAGTCGATCCGTTTGATCCAAGGAAAGCCCTCCAAACCGGCAGAGGAAAGACTAGCTGCATTTCTGTGGCTAGCCCCAAGCTACTGACAACCGAAGAAAGCAAGCACTAATTAGCAGATAGTGACCAGCATGCTTGGAACTGGGTAAGAAAACTGATCCTTTCTACTACTTTGATACTCGATTCCCTGGAAAAGACAAATTCCCCAAAAAGCAATAAAGTTCCCTAATGCAAGAAGGGGATTTTTTACTTCACCCTTCCAGAGAAACAACTGTTGTAAGTACAAATTTTGATCACTTCATCTCAGGAACTATCTTTCTGCTGGCAGAGAAAACCCAGCAACTAATGGTCTACTTGTTATACCAGTCACAGTATGGCAGTGTTAACAGGGAGTTCTTAAACGCTTAATTTCCTTCGGTGCACACTGATGGCCTGAGCCAACACTTTTAACTCTTCCTCCCTGTCTCAACAAAAATACCAGGTTGCACAAGCACAGCAGCTTGAGAACCAACGATGCCACATGCTGAATTGATCTTGCACTGTTTTTTGAACAAGCCATCAGTAACAACTGCTGGTTGCAGATACCATACAGTGCGGTTATCATTTCTTTTTTCAGAGCTGCAAAGATACCTGTGTACTGCACAGCCCCAAACCACATTTTAATAAGGGATATGAAAATTTCAGGAACGTTCATCTCTGAAACTGATCCTTTCACGTATTTCAAGTACTAATTGGTGCCAACGTACCTTTATCTTCCACCGAAATTGGTTTTCCAATCTTTATTTTCCAGGAGCCTGAAATCAAAAATTGTCCATGCATCAGGAAACATTCTTACGAATATCTCAAATACCACGTATTGTGCTGAGCAAAGGTTTAATTTTACTAGCTAATTGAGAAAAATGTGTTAACACTTACAAAAGATAAATAAGCTTGAGAATCATTTAAATGCCTATAGTTTCTGTGCTGTATGGGCAGTCCTTGACTTATGACTGTAATGGAGCCTGCCCACCATGGCTGTAAGTTGTACTGGGTATAACTCAAGAGCACTCACCTGGCCAACCCAATTTTACAAGTTTTTTTCATGGCAGTTGTTAAGCACACACCAGATTCATTAAACAAACCAATAGCTCACTTTGGGCCAGTTTTGCCATATACAAGAAAATGCTATTTTTTTAGCAAAACCATTGTAAAACACAAGTCATATGATGGTGAGATGCTGCAAACAGCTGAAAATGTGGCACAGTTGCAAAGTGCCTGAGGTGCAGTCATGTGAATGCATATGTGTGTGGCCGGGGGGGGGGGGGAGAGAGAACAGCAGCAGCCATTGAGACTTTGAATTTGGGCTGCAAGTAACCCCAAGGAGGTCCAGCGTATCTTTGAATGGTCGTTCAGGGGCTCATCGTAAGCCCAGGACTACCTGTAAAGTTTCTTGTACTAGTCAAACAAACTTCATGCTTTCAGATTATTCTAATGTTAAATCAAGGCCCAGATAGGATGATGTCCCTTCCTTTAAGTAACACAGCAAATACAAATTAGCTGTGGGTTGCAAAGAAGGTTGTATTATTAGCACTGACTCTATCGGCTTTCATCTGAGAGACCAGTCAAAACCTGGAGTTGTGCTGCCAAATAATAATAGAAAGAATTCTAAATGTCTGAATACTTTACAAAACTACAAAACACAATTTATATCAGGGGTGGGCAACTCTGGCCCCCTTTACAATCTGTGGACTTCAACCTTGGGACTTCTGGGAGTTGAAGTCCACAGGTCATAAAGGAGCCAGAGTTGCCTACCCCTGGGTCTGTCTTTATCTTAACCAATCAGTGGCAGAAAATCAAAGCTCTTTTCCTGATGGAGGTTTTAAAGAAACCCATTAGCCTCCACTTTGAATCAGAAAGACTTTTTGTGGGGTAGAAGGGAATGATGCAAACTTACTTCCTACATAAGCTGAATGGCAGACCTTTTCTTTTCCAGATGGTATTGACGGCCATTTACAAAGCAAAGCACGAAAACCAGGGTGTGTTTTTTTTTAGCATAGCTGAAGCTGGATTGCACTGCACCATGTGCTAGATGACATCAGTCCATACCATCTACTGAATTTCTATCCAGTTTATGTTCTATTAAAGCCAAAGCACAGACGCCCATCAGCCAATCGAAAAATATTAAGAAAGCAATTCACCTCAGAGTCGCTAGGTGATGGAGATCAAGTCTCTGAACGACAACTATTTGCAGAAATGGACACCATGTTTAAACTAGGGGGAGCTCTGAGCAAATAGAATAGAATTCTCTATCGGCCAAGTGCGATTGGACACACAAGGAATTTGTCTCCGGCACACCCCATACACCCATCAAGATAGAGAGAGGGGCTCCAATTAAAAAAATTCAGCTGAGTCACGATGGCTTCATTTAGCTTCAATCAGCTGCAGAGATCAAGGTTGGTAGGCTTTTTAGCCCAATGACACCAGTTTCCCCCATCACTTTACTTATTCTGCTCCCAGATTAGAGATTTCCAAATGGAATCCATCAAGGGGGCCATTGTGGCAGCTGATCCTTTGTCAAAACTTTCAGGAGGGCAAGAAAACACAATGAACTTGATCTGAGCAAGGAGAAATTAAGCAAATGCAAGGCATCACAGTAGACTATGCATCCATTTTCCAAGCTGAGGCATTTCAGGAATAGCGAAATCACAAAAGCTTCTGCAAAGAGCAATCAGCCCCGATCAATTTTTGTTTCATCCAGTCGTCCTCAAACCTTCATTTGAAATACTGGAGGACAGCCAGTGGTTTTGCTAGTTCAAAAAACAAGAAAGAACACATCAGGTATATATCAATTTGCAGCATTAACTCAGGGTCTATTAAAGATACACAATGTCATTTACTGTGGGGTTTTTTCCCCCCAGCGTTTGTTCAGGTAGCCAATTTGTTCAAGTTGCCTCATGCTAACAATTTCTTCTGCACTCAATTCTGATCAGAGTATTAGGTTTAGTTCATTTGTGAATCATTTAGCAGTTGAACTAAAAACAGTCATCATAGGAACTACAGTGCAGATTTTACGAGGGCAATTCGAAAATAAACCTCCGTTTGGTTATCAAGGACACTCGCAGACACAGAACATTTATTGTACACATTAGAAAACTACAACATTACATTACTTTTCGACATAATCGCCATTCCAATTGAGGCACTTGTCATAACGTCTTACAAGGTTTGAAATTCCTTAGTAGTAGTCGCTCGGCGCCAAATCTGGGCTATGGGGAGAGGGATGATCAAAAACATCCCAACGGAACTGCTTCAAAAGTTCTTGGGTGTATCTAGCGGTGTGCGGGCGAGCATTATCGTGAACCAACACCACACCGGTAAGTGGTGCCATAGAAAATCCCACCAAATGTGAAGATGCCAAAGGAGTAACTGCTAGTGAAGTTCACAGAGCATGATTCAACCATCAATTCTGAAGTCTATTGTGAAACGTTATGAAAACTCAAGAGGAGCCATCCATAACAAGCATCGGGGCACGCTGACTTCCAGTGTGGTGTTGGTTCACGATAATGCTCACCCGCACACCGTTAAACGCACCTTTTTGATCACCTCCCTCCATAGCCCAGATCTGGCGTCGAGCGACTACTACTAAGGAATTTCAAACTTTGTAAGACATTATGACAAGTGCTTCAATTGGAATGGCGATTATGTCGAAAAGTAATGTAATGTAATGTTGTAGTTTTCTAATGTGTACAATAAAAGTTCTGTGTCTACCGAGTGTCTGTCACTGATAACCAAACGGAGACTTATTTACGAATTGCCCTTGTAGATCCAATTATATATCCTACAGAACAGAACACTGACGTCCCCTAAAAGCCACTGAAGATGTTACCTAGCCTGGTAACAAAATGTTTGGAAACCAATCCACAAGCCTAGAGAACAAACCTTCATCCTCATCCTATACCCGAGCAACAGATATTCGGCACTATTACACATATCCTCTAGTTCAGTGTTTTTCAACCTTGGAAACTTTAAGATGGGTGGACTTCAACTCCCAGAATTCCTCAGCCAGAGTTGAAGTCCACCCATCTTAAAGTTTCCAAGGTTGAAAAACACTGCTCTAGTTGTCTGGATTACTGGATTTAGTGAGTGCTACCAAGAATTTAGAACTCACCACAGCTCATAAATGCAAATTTTAAGTGGTAAGAAAACACCTTTAACATATTAGGATAAGAGGGTGAATGAAACATATGTGCCCTCATTGCGACAAAACTGTGATTGGCTCATTGTCATGCAAACTTTGTGCACGTAAAGCAGTTATACCGGTGTAAAAGCCATTGTCTGATGTTCAGAAAGAATTATACACTTAAGCGCTGAGAGAGGAAAGAAAGAAAAATTAAACCTAAATACCTGGCTTGTATTTTGCTTGCTTCTAAGAGACTTCATTAAGGTGGCTTGGGTCTTCAGAATGGTACATTTCATTTGCATGCCTTCTAGGTATTCCATTTTTTTTTTAAAAAAAGTTCTTATTTCTAACAGTTGCCACTCACTTTCTCCTTGCGTTCGATTTCTTCTTTTTCTTGGGAATTTTGCTGCTTAATATGAAGCAGCTGTTGTCCTGGAAAAGAGAAACCAGCAGGGCACTGAAAAAGAACGCCAATATCAGAGCAATTAAGCAGAATCTCAACTCATTTCAAAAATGTATTTTGCAAACAAGCAGGCAGGCAGGCAAATCTGCTGGCATTCTGGAAACCGGTAAATACCTGGAATGCCCTGGGTTAGTGGTTGGGCCCCTTGTCCATTAGTTTAGAAGGGGGGATATTGCTAGCAAGACTTGCAATTCTAATTTATCTTCTTCTAACTTACTCCATTTCCATTTTCTTTCCTTCTTTTCCATCTCCTTTTTAAAAGTCTTATTTTTGCAGGGCCCTCAACTAACACAGTATTCTGAACACAGAAAACTGGGGATCTAACACTTTTAGCTTCTGCAACAAGCCGTGCAGCCTTATTCTGCAAGATCCAAAACAATGAGCAATAGGATGGCTCAGATAAGCCTTGATTTAGGGACAATCCTTGACTTTAAGACTGTTTACACCTTACAGAAAGTTAACTTACAAGTGTCCTTGTGCTTACAACCGTTGTATAACCCCCCCAGTCATAATTGCAATTTGTGTGCTTGGCAACTGGCTCGCATTTACAACCAGTTGCAACATCCTGTGGTCACATAATCATAATTTCTAACTTTTTTTGCCAAGTCCTAGGAAAAAAAGGCCACTAGGGAAGCTGTATTTGCTTAATGACTGCTGTAAAAATTGGGTCTGTTTCAATTTATGATGGCAATGACTAAGACAGAAATTCTGGTTCCAATTCTGGCATCGGACCTGGTTATCTCCGAGACCGCCTTCTGCCACAGATCACCTCTCACCGGCCGATACGCTCCCACAGAGAGGGTCTCCTCAGGGTGCCGTCAACCAGACAGTGTCGGTTGGCGACCCCCAGGGGGAGAGCCTTCTCTGTTGGAGCCCCCACCCTCTGGAACGAACTACCCCCAGAGATCCGGGTGATTCCG